TGGTTTGTTCATGATCGCAATGATGGGCCTTTTTGTCACCAGGGAAGGAGGCACAGAGATTCCCCCCACATCCCAACCCCTCACCCCGCCCTGCCAGATTCCTATGTTGAAACCCCACCCTCTAAAGCAGAGGTGAGGTGCGTAATGTCTGTCCTGCCAAGGCAACCACAGGTGGGGCTCAAAATTCGGTAAGTCTGTGGCAGCCTCATGTTGAGATTGATGGTTTTGTAAGGTCCACAAATGTTATAAACACCCAAAGGGCCCTTGGCAGACAGAGGGTTCCCCGCCACTGCTCTGATCTGAATCTCCTGAGGACCATGGCTTTTAGGGAGGTAAGTAGGGTGAAATGTGGTCCTAAGGGTGCAGCTTTTCATCGCCGGAGGCAGCTAAGCTCATAAAGAGTTTTCTGGGGCTCACAATGTTGAGACAGAAAGTCCAAACAGCACAGTGCACGCTCTGGAAAAGGCCCCCGTGGTCGAAGGCAAGAGTGCGCGCACAGGAAGGTTCACGGGGTGAGCAGGAAGCAGAGTGGGGGGCCCAGCTTTGCTCCTTTTATAACAACCCTCTTGGGGAGAAGGCAAGGCTTGCATGAGAAATACCTTACTCCCTTTCGAGAACACGCTCCCGACACACTAAGGACCTCCCACTCAACCCCACCTGTGAAAGTTCTCAACTTCCCAGCCCGGCTACCCTGAGAACCAAATTGTCAACACGCAGACCTGCCCTTGGGAACCACAGCAGACCCTAACTTAATAGCACTGGTGTTCTTTTAAAGAGACAGCAGAGCGCTCACACGCACTCGCTCCCCCCCCCCCTTCTCTGCATGCACAGTACACTTAGAGAACAAGTTACCACCCTTAGTCCATCAACATAAGACCTTAGGGACCAAGTCCCCAGAACATGAGCCTTTGAGGACACCCAAAACATTATCCAAACCAAAACAACACCCTAGCAGCAGCAGCGTGAGTGAGATAAACTCATCTCTTCTTAGCTGCCGTCTGGAGCAAAGTCCTCACTTCCTCGAGCCTCAATTTCCACCCGCAGTGTTCGCCTGGCTCGTTAACTCCACCTTCTGCATCGCACTGAACAAGACTCAGGACTGTTAGGCATTTTGCACCCACCATGAAGATGCCCACTCCATGGCTTGTTGTGTGTCCGTGATAATTTCTGAGTGTTGAAAGGAATATTAAATATCGGTTTTTTTAACTTAAGAGTAAAATACTACCAAAAAAAAAAGCCTGTTAAAGTGCTGAGGGGCGCTCTGTCTGCACGCCCGGAGATTTCGTTTCCTTCCCCTCCCCTTGGGTGGCTTGGTCAGGGCATTCATCGGGAGTCACACAGCTCAGTCACACCACCTATCAGGCGTGTAGGTTTTCTCCACCCATCAGGTGTGTGTGGAGGTTTTCTGGAAGTCTCTTTGAATCATCCTAACTCTGTTTCTGTCAACAGTACCAGAGAAGTAAAAAAGAGTCCATGCATCAGACTCATTAATATCAAGAATGAAACCCACAAGAATCATAGCTAATAAAAGTTCATGAAGTATTAATAGTGACAATAGCAATTGCAATGATAATAGTTCAAATGTATGGCAGTGTATGATGGGGAGCCACTAAGCCTTTATATAAATTATCTCAATAACCTTTGGGTAAGATATCACTGTACCCACTTTAGAGATGAGGAGACTGAGGCACAAGAAGACTGAAAAATTTGCTCAAGGGCCTACAGCAGGAATTGGCAGAATAGGTTGGAAAAGCTCCATGAGACTTGCCCACTGTGCTATGCAGTGCTATCTATACAGTAGGATCCCTAGAGCTAGTCATCTGGGCCATAGGCTTCAAGTCATTGGGACTCCCTCCTACCTTCTGTGGCAAGTAACATCACCAAAGAGACTTAAAAGTTGGAGAGGTTTCCACAGGCTTCTAAGTGATACACAAGTGTTATTTGCATTAGCAGAATTCCTCGTGAAACCATTCTGTTGTATTAAACCAGTCCGTATGTTCCTAATTTAGAAATACAGAAAGCAGGGGCCAGCGCTGTGGTGTAGTGAGCAGGTAAAACCACTGCCTGCAGTGCCAGCATCCCATTTGGGCGCCAGTTCAAGTCCCGGCTGCTCCACTTCCGATCCAGCTGTCTGCCACGGTCTGGGAAAGCAATGGAAGATGGCCCATGTGCTTGGGCCTCTGTGCCTGCATGGGAGACCTGGAAGAAGCTCTAGGCTCCTGGCTTCAGATCGGCACAGCTCGGGCTGTTTCGGCCATTTGGGAAATGAACCAGTGGATGGAAGACCTCTCTCTCTCTCTCTCTCTCTCTCTCTCTCTCTGCCTCTGCCTCTCTGTAACTCTGCCTTTCAAATAAAATAAATAAATCTTAAAAAAAATACAGAAAGCACTCTTCCGAATCATTCAAATGAACAGTAGCATTAACGTAGCCAACGTAACCAGCCACGTGGAAAGACAGAATGCTATGCTGTCTGTCTCCTCCAGTCTAGGTACTGTATAATCATAAACCTGTAAACCAAATGAATACATTACCTCTTCTCCCAAGACCAAACCAAGCAACCTTCCAAGATTCTGGCGAGGGGGCAAAACTGGCCCCTGCCTCTCTCCCTGCTGAAAGCGCTGGCTGTTCTCAGGGGCTCTAACACTCACTGTTCCCCTGCAGGTGAAGAACTCCAAGAGCTAAATACCCGGCAGCTCCCTTCCTGTCACCAGCATGCTGGATATTTGGAGAAAGCGGCAGCAACACTCGGAGAAGTCTGCAGAAGTCGCTGTGATGAAGAAGGTAAGGACCTGTGACTCCGAGGAGTGGGTAAGTGAGGGAAGCTTTGAGAGTGCTTGAGGCCTGGGCAGAATGGGCAGAGATGAGACAGGAGAAAATATTAGACAGAATTGATGGAAAAGGTTTGGGGGCAATGAAAAGATTTGCCTCGGTGCCTAAGAGATACAATTTATACTGAGAGTCGGGGACAGGAGGACAACCCCATTCATTTGAGACCAGAATGAAGATGAGTGGGAAGGTGTTTTCATTAAAGAGGATATCTGTGTCTCATGACCTCAATTTTCCCGAAAAAGGAGCAAGAGGGTTGAGCTCTGGATAATGAAGACTTAGTGATGGAAAGTGTCTAGGATCCAAAGTCAGTTCAGGCCAAAAGGCGGACTAAGTCGCGGCACAGGCTGCCATGAGCCAAATTGGCAGGATTTGTGGGGGGTGCCTCCAGAGCAGAGGCCACCAGGTTTACTACACAGCCACTGAACTGCGCCAGGCCCTCAGACAATTGTCTTATGACCTCACTCTCTAACTGAAACCGCGCCTTCTCCCACTTGTCTGAGTTTCTGGGATTTGTCTGCCTGCACGCTAGGGCCCCTGTGCAATGTACAGGCCTTTCCCCATCTGGCCCCACTTACGACCCCAGCATCGTTTTTTTTCCCTTCCGCCATATTGAATAACTGCAGGTCACACCCTCCCCCTGCTGCTGCCCGAGGGCCCAGAGCTTTGCGATGCTCCTGGCCTTGGATCTCACACAGTTCCCCTGAAAAGAGCAGACACCTTCCAGGATCACTCAGTGTCTCCTTTCACCTGTGAATGTTCCTAACCTCACATAGTGCTTCCTGTTTCACCAACTCCAAGACACACTTTTTATAACATTTACAAAAATCCCAGACGTTAGGATGAAACTTACAATCAATGGTGTATCATACTTCAATTGACAGGATTTTAAAATTTCTTGGTGGTATCAAAGGTTTCAACAACAAAGAGATGTTTCTTTGGGAGGTGCTTCTCACATTGGTGAAATGTAGCTTCATTTTTTAGCTTGTAAGTGTGGAAGGGCTTCTCATCTGGAGGTGAACTTGGGTCTCTGTCCCATCCCCATGCCTATATAGCAAAGTGTGGAGTACCAGTGGGCCAGGGAGGGAGTAGTGCAGTTAGCACCTGCTGGGCAGAGGCTAAGGATGCAGGAAACATCCTACAATGCATAGGAACACCCCAAATGTGTTCAAATCTGTACAAATGTGTACAGAGCGGAGACCGAGAAACCCTGGTATAGTGCACCAGTAGGTATTTGGGTGCGTTTGATTTTAAGCACATCTTTTGCAGTGCATGGTGCAACTTAATCTGCAGCAGCTTTCCCAGACTTTGTAGCGCAAGAATAACAACTCTTGGGAAATGCTCTAAGCCGTCCTGGCCCCTCCCCACTTCCTTCTGCTAGACTCCCAGGGGAATGCACAAAGCAGTGCTCCCAGCCAGAAGGTCTCAAAGAGATTTGTGACCTTAAATGAATTACCCTGAGTGAGCTAATGGCAGGGCCAGCGTTGCAAAGGAGAAGCACCCCTCCCCCCATTTTCACCATTCCCCTCAGTCTACCAGGCAGCTGCTGGCTTCCCTTGCTAACTTGGGGAATGTGGTTAGGCACTAAGAGGAAACCGTGCCCTACACCTGGGCGCTGGGTGACTTAGCAGGAGTTTAGTTTAGTATTCACGCTTCAACACCTAGGACCCACCCGGCTCTCACCCCGCTTAGATGAGAATTTCGGCTGCCTCTGTAAGACCCCGAGCTCTGCGGGGAAATGGATTTATGCAATAATAACTGTGATTCATGAGCATGAAGGAACTTCAGATATACGGGTCAGGGTTCATCACAGAAGGGCAGAGGGGCCTCAAGAGGGGTACTGAGGGCTCTGAAGGGAGGGCTATTCATTTGGAAGGCGGCTGGGGGCGCTTCCTCCCTCCCCAGAAGCTGCACCTGAGCCACGGCTTTTCTGCCCTTTGGCAGGAGTAGGACCTGATTTATGGAGGGCGGAAGCTAGCCCCGGGCAGGTTTTGCCAAGGCCTCCCCCAGGCTCGCTTTCAGGCGGGCCTCAGGTAGGTCTAGAGCTCCCCGCCAGCCAGCATATCCCCGGCCCCAGCGCACCCCCACCCACCCACCCCGGGGCGGAATCCCGGTGCGCAGCTTGGCTGGGGTCGCACAGCCCCGCCAGGTGTTGCAAGGAGGACTGGACTCACCTTCAGGTGGATGGGGAAGGACCGCTCCTGCTGGAGTGGCCCCAGCAGCGTCTGCTCCACACTAACCAGCTCGGAGGTCGAGTCCACCACACGGGCCAGCGCGCTGCGCATCGCCATCCGCGCCAGGGTGCAGGGCCCGCGGTCCCGGGGGAGGGGCAGCAGCTCAGCGCCCCCCTCCACCTCCACCTCCGGGGAGCTCGCCCGCGCCCCGGCCCCCACGGCCCCGCCCTCCATCCCCAGCTCCGGCCCCAGCTGGGCCCTCAGCGGGCCTGAGCGGCGGACAGGAGCGGCCAACACGTGGTCCGGGTCGCGTGAGCCCCCCGGGGCGCCCGGCCCGTCCCCCCAGCCCCATTCCTGCTGCAGCAGCTGCAGGGTCTGCAGAGCCACCATTTGGTGACTAATGGAGGCCACTAAGGGCGCGGGGCTGGCCATTGCTTCCACCAGCGGCTCCGCGCGCTCCGCGTGCAGGTGGAGCGGCAGCGAGGGAGGCGGGGGCGTTTGGGGTCGCCAGGGTCACATTTCCTAACCCGCGGATCCTGGGCCCCGGCTTCTCTCCGCGTGTGTGGCCGGCACCGCCCCCGGCCCGCAGTCCCTGACCCGCGCTGGCCCCTGCATTCGCTTCGACTCCGAATCCGCTTGTTCTGACCCAAGGCTGCTTGATGCGCTGCTCCGTGTGCACCTGAAAATCAGCCAAGTGCTGAGCGGTGTTTCTTTCTCCTCTCCAGGGCTTTGATGGGAAAACGTGCTGCTTTGTGCAGATGCGTCTATCAGAGATACCCCGCCCCCATCTCCTTTGAAGGATGCCTGCCAATGACCACTTACGCCAGAGGGTGGGGGTGTGAAGGACTCACCCAGGAGCTTGGGCAAGAGCTGAGAGCCTTAGCAAAATTCACAAAAGGAACCACGTGCCTGCCTCCCCTCCCTACCCTTCCCAACCCAAGAGGGATTTTCTGGAACTTCTTGAAATAGCCTTTAGGGCTTCCTGGCCCCCACCCCAGCCTAAGAAGGTGGACCTGTGTGTCTCCAAGTTTTGCCCTTCCAGGTCTGGCTCCCTGTGCACAAGTGCAGGGACAGTGGGGCCGCTGCAGTAGCACCGCAGAGCCTCAGTCGTGGCCTGCCCCTGCAGCCCACAGCTGGCACTGCCCAGATGCTGGGCCTAGATGGTTTTGTGTGACATTCCCAAAGGAGTTGGGCAAAGTTGATGCTAAATCCTTTTATGAGCCATGAACCCCGGGACAGCTGTACAAATAGTTGCTGTTTTTAATTAAAACTAACGAGGCTACTTCCTTGACTTGGGAAGAAGAACTGGCAATTTTATGTGTTGGCAGATTGGAAACCATTGGTTTGTGAGCACACTTGAGAAAAACGAAGACATTTGACAGGCGTTGTTGGAGGGCCGGCCCAGGGAAGCCTCCGTCCAGTTCTATGCTCTTCCTGCAAGGAGAGCTACTTGGATAACCCCTGGGTCCAGCATGGCAGTGCAGGGGCTCAGGTCCATGGCAAAGGAGTAGCTCTGGCACACTGGGGCACAATTTTTCACAGAGTGAGATTTGGAAGTGTCCCCGAGGGAAAAAGTCCCCCCCCCCCGCCACCGCCAGTGTGTCTCTGTACAGAAACGTGATGGTAAAAGATAGCAGGAGAAACGTGGGTCCTTGAAGGTTTCTTTCATTTGCGATAGTCTGACCCCATGTAATCCTCCCAGCTCTCCAGCAAAGCTTCCCTCGCCTTCCCAGTGTTTTCTTCGCCTATTAAAACAAATCTGAATGCCAAGGTAAAGAAAAAGCCGTTCTTAAACAAAAACCAGTATGTTCACACTAATTACTGCTAACTAGAAATGCATGTCTGTGCATTGACAGAGAGGAAATTACTTTAGAGGGCGGTAAATAGCTTAATGTTGGTTAGGTTCTCTTGCCATGAAGTTACTTAAGTTCATAATGAAAAAATACAGAAATTCTTCTTTATTATTATTTTTTTAATCCCCGAATGTTGACATGCATTAGATTCAGCAGTGACTAACTGGGAATAGCAAATGCTAACCCCTGATTTTCCCAGAGCATGTCAAGTCTCCAGGGCTGCTCCTCTTTCCAGATGCACGGGAACCCGTTACAGGGCCTAACCCTTCCACTATCGAATGGCCGACTGCAGAACTTTCCTGACACACAATATTCCAGCCAGCAGCAGGCTCGCAATCACAGCCTGACTGGAGGCCCCACTGCTCTGTGCACCAGGCTGACTCCAGGAACCATGAGACCGACTGAACTCGAGGAGCTACAAGAGAAGGCAGTCAGAAAACCATGGAGTCTGAGGGATGTTACATGTTGTGTAGGTAGGGGCTGGGTCTTTCTGGAAACCTTAGGAAGTACTGGTTCATCCAGCACCCAGGGCTTTGTCACATTCCCCTTTGCTGTAAAAGTGAAATGGTTCTTGCCCTAAAGCTGGAGTAATGAGATCATAACTAAAGCACATTTTCTTTAGGTTATTGAGATGTTAAGTAACAGAGCAGATCAGCCTATGGTCTAAACCACCTCCAAGGCTATATGCACCAGGCTACCGGACCAAGTAACAAATCATAAGGTACCTGTCGCTCCCCCTCTTCGTGGAGGAGCAACACTAAGCCCTGCCTAGGCTTCATATCCGAGTCACGGCACCATTATGTCGCTCCCCCTCTTCGCAGAGGAACGACACAGGACCCTGCGCTGTTCTTTCGTCTGCTTGGCCCTCCCCGGGTTTGCTGCTGGTTCTTCCCGGGTTGGCTACTATCCCTTCCACCTCCGTGGAAGGGCAGTTCCCCCTGGCCACATTCCCCACTTCCGCAGGGGAGCGGCACACCGCCGGCCGGCTCGTCTCGGGGGCTGCACAGGTGTTCCTTCAGCTAGATGTTCCCCATAGATGTTCCCGGTGCATGCCGTCTCTCTCCTCCTTTATAGTCCTCCTCTATAGTCCTAACTCGGCTGCCCACACGCCGAGTACGCTGCTCTCCTCCAATCAGTAGCAAGTCCTACAGTTTATTGGTTGAACTGGAGGCAGCTGTGCGGAAGCTGTTTACTTCTCTCCCAGCGCCATATTGTGGGAGAGCAGATGCATAGAATAAGTCTTAATTCCAGTAACTCAGTCTAGTCCGGTTTGCTCCCCACAGTGGGAGAGCAGATGCATAGAATAAGTCTTAATTCCAGTAACTCAGTCTAGTCCGGTTTGCTCCCCACAGTACCTACTTACTATAAACTCTTGCCATGAAGTTGCTTAAGTTTATGCTAAAAAGTGCATGAATTCTTCTTGATTTTTTAAATCTTCAAATGCGGAGACTAATCTACTGCATTCATAATTTGAGGCCATTATGTGATAACAGACTCACTCAAAAGAACGAAGTACGGGACATGCAGTAGGCTTGCTCCGCAGCATCCATGCCACTGTTTCATGGAAACATAAAACTTTACCTCCCAGTGATCTTCCTCCTCCTCTGCACTCAGTCCACAAAGTCAGATGGGATGCAGCCATCTAGACTGAGGCCGGTCACACACCACATTTCCACCATGAATGGTCAGGAAGAGGCAAAGGAAGAGTCAATGGATAATGACCGTGTAGGATACTTTTTGCTGAGTGAACAGTGAAGTGAGAACAGTGCAACTGAAAGGTTTAGGCAAGAGATGAAACAGCAAGAGAGAAAATTCCCTTCTAAGAAGAAAACCTAACATCAAGGAGTTTAATCAATAAGAATAATTTATTCAGCCGGTGCTGTGGCACAGTGGTTTAAAGCATGGCCTGCAGCATCAGCATCCCATGGGTGCGCTAGTTCAAGTTCAGGCTGCTCCACTTCTGATCCGGCTCCCTATAATGTGCCTGGGAAAGCAGCAGAGGATGGTCCAAATGCCTGGGCCCCGGCACCCCTGTGAGAGGCGAGGAAGAAGCTCCCAGCTCCTGCCTACTCTGGTCGTTCCAGCCATTTGGGTAGTAAATCAGTGGATGGAAGATCTCTGTCTATCCTTCTCTCTGTAACTCTGCCTTTCCAATAAATAAACGAATCTTTTTAAAAAGAATAATTTATTGTCCCATATCACAAAATGTTCAAAGGTAGAGTGCCTTCGAGACTGGTTCATTCAGCACCTAAATTCCTCCCACCTTTCTGCTGTGCCGTTGGAGTACAACTTTGTCCTTGATCGTCTGACTTAGTACCTCTATGGCAGAGAAAGAGGGAGAGAGAGAAAAACAGTGATCTTTTAGCACCACTTGAGCCCCACATTTAGCTGTACAAGAACACAGCCCCACCTCTGAGCTTTGCAGTTATACAAACCAATGAAGTTTTTTTTTTTTTTTTGCTTGAGCTACTCTGGGTTGAATATACTTCCTTTTGCAACAAAGTAAACAATATGAACCTATATTATAAGAAGGATGGTATGTTAGTGGAGTTCCTTGTGGCCCAACGTGCCTTAGGCAAAAAAAAAAAAAAAACCTGTTCTCTTCAACCAATTACTTACAACAATGCTTTTACCCTTTTCCCAGCCTTTCTTCTATTTCAACAGTTGTGGGGAAAGCTCTTTGAGAAACTCTGATTGTTGCTGAGACTCGATTGGAGCATTTAAAAATGAGCACTGGAGGGGTGAGCAATTGAGTGGTTAAGACAGTACTTGGGACACCCTCATCCATGTAGGGAGTGTGTGGGTTTGAGTACCAGCTCTGCTCCTGACTCCAGTTTCCTGCTAATGCACCTCTCTCTCTCTCTCTCTCTCTCTCTCTCATACATTTAAAAAAGATGAGCACTGGAAATATTCAGATCCTTGTGTGGTATAGAAGGGAAAAGAGAAATCAGTGAAGTGGGAAGTAATTTTCCATTTGTTAATGGACAAGGTGGAGGATTCTGGCTCTTCTGTTCATCCAAAGGTTCCTTCCCACATGAGCAGAAGCGATGAGTTCCTGTGGGAATGGTTGAGAAGCCGGGCACAGGGAGAACAGAAGGGAGTTGGCAGAAGGTGCAGCTATGTGGAGCCTTCCCCAAAGGGATCGGCGGAGCCCAGACACATTTGAGCCCTGCTTATATTCTTTGGCACTTTTCTCCAAAAGGGATCCAAGAGAATTGCAGAAATGGAGCTGTTAACCTTCAACACACCCTGGTGAAGTTCGTAGGTGGGGGCAAAACAAAGCTAGTCCAGAGAGACCATAAGTTATTATTCTTGAGTGAAAATGATGATTGAGGAGAAACAGACGCCGAAGAGATACACCCAGATAGGAAAATGTTCCATAAAAGAGAAAAACGATGGAACTGGGAAGAGGTATAGGCCCCAAAGAACAAAAAGCAAAGAAGATCAAATTCCCTTTTTTAAAAAATATAATTAGAATGCTTGAATATGCCAAGTCATAAAAATGCACACACAGTTCTCACTTTGGCCCAAACATTTGACTTCAGGGGTAAGGAGAAGATGCAGTCCTGCACAGCCAAAAACAATTATTTACATAGCACACCATGTATGTGCGGCCTTCCCAGACCCGCTCAAGCTGCTGAAGCTAAGTGAAGCTGGTGAGGGAACCCAGGGAAGGGGACAAAGCGAGTGAGAGGAGAAGCTACAAGCGTTGAAAGCCACCTGCCCGTCTAAATGTAATCTGATGTGTGTTGGCCCCCTCAGTGCAAAATGCAATTCTTTCGGATGTGTCAGTCATTTTATTGAGTTTTGTTTTAGTAGTTTATATCTGAGAGGAATTATTAATGTTGACAGAAAAGAAGTCAGAAGTAAATTTTTTAAAGAGCGGGTATATTATTTTCTGATTACTGTAGTTTGGTAGGCAGTTTAGCTTGTGAGAGTGACAGGATGACCCTGGATTTTCAGGCTGCCTGGCATAATTCCAACAGGAGA